ATTAAAATTTTATAATTAGGACCAAAATAAAAGTCAAATTAGCTCTTATATTAACGACCGGAGTTAGTATATATGAGTAGTTACTAATAAATCATATTAATTACTCTCGTTGATCTTAAATATGAAAACAACTTGAAAGTTTTGTTTTGATTATAAAGACTCAGTCTGCTTTATCTTTTAAATCTATAATCTTCTTTTTAAATTATTCCTCTTAATTACGTGTATTAATGGAGCTTTTCAAATTATCCCTCTTGGGTATTTAAATTTGTTTCTCCACAAAACATTTTATGAATAAAAAAGTGATTTATATATTTTTAAAAAAAAAGGACATTTAAATAAGTGGTGCAGCTAATCACCTTTTAGTTTAGTTGCATAAAAACTCTCCTGTAAATAGTCGGCTTTGAGAGGTAGGGTTTATGGATGAACAGAACCAATCAATTTCAATGTTATGCAGTGTAGTAAGCTGGTGGCATGGAAAACTTTCAGGAAGTAGAAGGTCATGGTTACAACCTCGAATCAAATAAAAATACGAGGCAGCGAAGCTTCGAATAAGTTCATCAATCTATGAATGTCGAATAAAGAGACAACAAGAGGAGAGATAGATACTGTACATGATACATAGATCTCGCCTGTGCCATTGGAGCTTGGTGATTCCACCAGCACGGTATCTCTGTCCATGTGACTTTATAAATCAAAATCATATAATATAACACAGTTTGGATCTTTAACATGCTGCTGAACTGCTATAAATCCATACACTGTACTGTGTTTGTGGAATGTTTTTGTTTAAAGTAAGCAAATCTAAGACCCCATTGCTTTATCAAAAGGTGACAGTGGCACTTGGCTGCTTCCATGTGGCTGAGCCCAAAGTTTGGCCCTCTCTCTGATCATGACCACGATCATGGCCTTCACCTTCACTTACATACCATGGTTGTAAAGGAGCAAAACCAGAGAAAGCAACTGTGGAAGAAAAAGCAAACGACGTCGTCATCTTTCGCACCTTGTCTAGGATTCCCTCGACACCCTATCATTTCATCTTCTTCTTCTTCTTCCTTTTTCCCTCTTTTTTAACAAACCCACCACCTTCCTTTTCGTCTTCACAAATTATTACTCACTTGCTTCGTAAGAATTCAAGCGAAGTTTGTTTCGCTTCACTCCTTCGTCTTTTGTTTCTTCCATGGCCGTAACACCACAATCCATCCCCGACATCCCCATCGATTTTCGCGCTCCTCCGCCCTCTCCCATTGCCTCCGGCCGACGTTCCTCCTTCGCCAACGACGATGTGCTCACCGAGTTTCTGGAAACTTCGCTGCGTGTACCTGACCTTATCTTGCCGGACAAGATCTTCCCCAAACAAAATTGCCTCGAAACGCCTCCCAAGGTTGATTTTAGATCGCTGTGTTCCGATCATGAGGACTACGTTGCGTCATCGTCCGACGTTGTTTCCGATTCCATGGCGAGAATCGGATGCTTCCAGCTGGTGAATCACGGAGTCCCGCGCGAACTGATGGCCTCATCGAGGGAGGTTGCCCAGGCAATTTTTCAGGTCCCGCCGGAGAAGCGAGCGACGGTGACGAGATCGCCACCGGAGAAGCCATGGGGTTTCGAGGAGTATCATTCGGAGGAGGACGGAAGTGAGTTGAGCGAGGAGTTCGTGTGGTGCAGAGATCATGACCTGAAGTTGAAAATGGAGGGAATTTCTCCAGTTGGGTATTCAAAATTCAGGTAACACCACATTACTATATCGTTAATGCACAAACTTCACCAAAAATAATAATCAATCGATCCCATCCTCCAAATCTTCGTTCAACAAAGAAAAACCGAATTATAGCGTGAGATTATCTCTAAATAAATACTAAAATTAGATTATTTACCATACATGACGAACTAACCAGAGGGTTCCTTACAGACATGATATCCAATATTGTTTAGAAAGAGATTCTTTTTTTGTAATTTTATGTCTTAAAACAAATAAATGAGTTTCAACTGATAATTCCACAGTTATTTAACATTTTTTATTGAATACAATAGTATTCTCTCATCTCACAGGTCCTATACTAATTAATACAATATATATATATATATGTATGTATCTTAGTCTTTTAAGTATAATGTGCTCGCCCCATGAAATATATTTCTCTAAAATGATTCATGTAATTGGATTCTATAGTTGAGGTGCTATCCCTGAAAATGGAACTGTTGCAGCAAAAATCTTCTAGCGTAGATGGTTTACAGCGGAGAAAGTGAAAAAGGAAACATTGTAATAAGCTTGTGTGACACGCAAAGCAAGGTAGAGAAAAAGCAAAGCAAAGGCAAAGCAATAGTGAAATATACGTAGTAAAGATGGGGCACAATGATTTTAGATGCCTGCAGATAAGCTGCAATTACACCTTTGTTCCAAATCACTTTACACTCTGCTTCCCTACTGTTGAACAGCACATGTCATCATGAAACTTCTCTTCCATACATATCAATTATGTCCCAAAACAGTGACAATGCACGCTTGGAAATGTAATGATGGCTTGATGAATCTCTCTCTCTCTGCTTTTACCTGCAGCAAGGAGATGGAAGCTCTCATGTCAAGCATAGAGAAGGTGGCCGAGAAAATTCTACCAGTGATGTTGAAGAATTTTCCTGGAAAATTGTTGGCTCCATCAGGGGGCAGTGATCATCAGGGGCATGAATTTGGGACGCTTTGTTGTGTTTACAAGCATAGTCAGGACAGTATGGCAGATGGATGGGCAAACTCATTGAAATATGATGTGATCAGAATGCTGATAAGAGGAAGCGATTACTCTCACGCCTTATGTTTGCATGTTTGTGATGGCTGTTCTGAGTTTCATGTTTACTCCAAGAAAGGTTGGCTCTCTTTCTGCCCAGAACAAGGTGCACTCATAATCACTGCTGGAGACCAAATTCAGGTTCATGTTCAATTCTTCCCTGCTCTCTCACACTCTACTTTTTTTATCCCAAGAAAAATGATTCTAAAAAAAATATATCAAAAAGTCTCACAGCAAAACCTTCATGTTTCGTGGCATAAAATGTATCTTTTGTCGCATCAGGTTTAGAATTCGATCCCCACTGCTCTTAACTTCTTGGGCGCGACCCTTCTTGTCCAAAATTTCAAATTTGAAAAAGTTCTGGTTTTGAAATAACAAAAGCTCCATGCTACTTATTATTAGGATTTTTTAATGCATTTATTTCTTGACATCTCACAAGTGATTTTTCTTTTTTCTTTGTTTTTTTATTTGCCTCATGGATTTCAATATATTATTCTCTAAAGTAATGGAATAAATTGGGATGGAATCAAACATTGGAGTATCTCCTTGATTGGCGAGAAAAAGAAGTAAAGGAGCTTGTCCTTGTGCATATAATTAGATTTCATCTTTTATTTAAAATACAAACAAGATCAGGCTTTAAGCTGCTTTTATGTCATTGGTTATTTTAATATATAATGACAGCTAACTGGGGTCGCCTAATGTGATTAGTAAACACAAAGTGACCCCAGAAAATGGTGAGAAATCAAGAGGATCTATCTCTTAATTAAACAAGTTTATGTGCTTAAATATATTGTAATAACAGGTAGCGAGTGGTGGGCTGTGCAAGCAGGTGATCGGAAGGCCAATCTTGAAAGGAGAGAAAGATGATGATGGCATTTCAATGGCATTTCTCTATTCTCCTCCAAACGACACAACCACTTCTGAAACCAAAAAGGAAGCAACTATCTCCCTTGGCCAGCAAGCCTTGTTGGCTATGATCCTCATCCTTGTTTACCAATTCTTGATTTTTGTGTACAAAAAATTTTGATCATAATCTTGTTTTGGAGGATTGTTTGTGCACAGTTCCATACAAATTACACAAGCATTGGACAGGTGGTGGTTTTCCTTCTATGTGCCTGTTTGGATTACCTGTACAGAATTGATTTTGTGAGATAAATATATAAGGCGAATCTTATTTCTCAAAACACAAGTATTTTTTTTTTAATATGTGTTCAGAAATTTAAATTAGTCTGTATTAGGTAGTGGCTATGTAGATAAAACCATCTGTGATCGGTTCGATACTAAATACAGAAATACATAAACGGTGACCTCTTTGTAATTAAAAATGGGAGTCATAATACTATTATAATAATAGTTAAATAAAATCAATGAATAATATTCCACCTTCTGTGAGAGTAAATTTTTTTTTTTCCTAAACACGTATTTTTTTACTAAAAGTAATAGTATTTAAGGTATTATCAATCACTAAATATAAACAACTCTCTACTAAGAATTTAAATTTTAGTTTTCCAAATAACTAAATCTTCTTAAATTATATATTCCTCTAATCCTAAATATAAGACTTTTATACATAATGATATAAAGCTCTTATATTCAAAACGGGAGGAATAATTTTTTTTTTTTGGGGCAGTGGAAGAGGCTTGAAGCCCCACATGGCTACCCATGCGCATCAACTTCTGTTTTGTTAGTCGTCGTATAACTTTGACGAAAGCCATTACTCGCAATTTTGACTTTGGTCGGGGGCGGAGCCAGCGCCTCGACAACTGGGGGGATAAAATTATAAAAACAATTTCATATAAACATGATTTTAATATCTTACAATAAATATATAGATCTAAGTTTATTTTTAAAATTTTAATGTTTTGAAAAAGAAGCAAATTTACTAAATTATACAACATTTTTTAAATTTAAAATTTTTTATAGTGGATTAATATAGTTAGCATATTAATTTTAAGAAAAATATAAGGAAGACCTAAAAAGTTTACCTTTTTAATAGTTTTTATATTGCATTACATATTATTAATTTGAGTCAGATAAAAGGACAAATCTTCGAACTTGATAAATTATAAATCAGTATGCATTAACCTAAACCCTAAAAATTATACTGCCTCCAGTCCGAATTATAATTGGGACCGGAAGTAGTATAATAAAATTCCTTTCCAAAAGCGACTTCACGTTTAGGCTACGTTTGTTTGGATGGAGAGAAAAGTGAGAGGAAAATAGGAGGAAATATTAGGAAGGAAAACTAACAAAATCCAAGTATTCCTTCTTTCCTATTTTTCCTCTAATCCAAACATGTAAGGTTGGTCATCGAGAGACAGTTCGCCCATAGCAAACTGATGAAATATAAAGGTTGCTTGCCCATTTGTCCTGCAAAACCCATTCACACACACCATGCCTTAAAAGGCTAGAAGCAAAAGATTGAGCACAAACTGGGGAATAACAATAACAAAAGTCCCACCTTCACATGCATGGTAGGAAAAAGGGCAGTCCTCAAGGTTTCCTGTGTTTCATCTGCATGCTTCCTCCATGGCTTACTGAGCACAAAAGCAGCCTGGTCAGAAGTTGCAGCGGCTGCTGTTATGCGGTATCCGTGATCCCATCGCCTGCGAATCCCTTCACCGGGATAACGAAAATCCAGTTCAACCACCTGAAAAATTAGTAGAAATAAATGATTGGTTATTGTTGCAACCAAGCTTTAACCAGTAGATAAAGGTCCAGAATGATCAAAGCATTGCCTGGTGGCGAAATCCTGTACCGCGTGACATAACCACAGCCCATCTGACCCCTGAGGTAGCCATTGCAGTAACATGGAAGCCTTCCCCCCACTTTGTCTTAATCCACTTGAAAGGAAATGAATTGCTAACTTTGAAAGATTGTAGTATATATGGTGCGCCTAGAATACAGAAACCATGGCAGCTGAAACCGGTTTAGTAATTCTTAATATAAGAGCTAAATAATTAATTTGGAGAGCTTAAAAAAATTAGTAAAATTGGTTATTTATAACAAATGTGTGTAAATTTTCCTAAATTACCCTCTTATCAAAACTACCCCGTCAGAACCTCTTGCAACTAATAGGAATATTTTGAAGGAAAAAAATTATAAATCCTCCAAATAAAGTAGATTGAGATCTTATATTTAGGATCAAATCCAACCGCCCAATTAGCTATTCCACTAAGAACTAGAGGTAATATTTGCTAAAGTACAAGAGCATAATACTAGAGTATCCACCAGAAAACAAAACAAAACAGAGTAACTAACCTTTAGACATGACTACTATTGAGCTCCCGTTCTTGGCTCCAGCAACTGCACTGATTAAGTAATTTTTTTCCCACTGTTCCATTATCCATTCCTCCAACCGTAAAAGAAAAGCAAAATACTGATTACTACTAATTAATAAGCTCACAGGGATGGTTCAGCAGTTCATGTTTCAAAAACATATGAACACTTGACAAAAGAAATTTACCAGTCACGAGTCATGCCCTAAATATTAAAAGTTCAGACAGCAGACTTGATTATTACCTTATCAAGAAAGTAAGGAGAGAGTTCATAAACTTGTTTTTTGAAACCAGTGCCTGTATCCATGATTATTGCCCACAGGTTCGAACATGAAGCCACACTACTTATATATAAGCCATCCTCATTTCCCTTTCCGATAAGCTGGGAAATTCTTGCATCTGACACGTTGTAGTGATATCTGCAATGCAAATACAAGCACTCTTCAGGCACAAACAATTCATTATATTACATAATTTAAATAAGAATTAATGCCATCTTTAATTCCTGAATTTTAACCTCATTTTAGTTCACTTAAAGATTTGCAGTCCATGAAACAGTGTTACTGATCTCTGAAACAAGGTTTCAAGGACTAAAACCACTAGTTTCAAATTTTAGGAACCAAAAGCATAGCCTCGCAGAACAAAGTTCACATGGCATCAAACCAGTAAAGCAATAATTCATGCAGACTAAATATATATAAATAAATGCAGCATGTCTCTCAACTGTATCAATTAATAAGTGCCACAATACCAGAAAGTAGTACATACGTATCATGGCTTAAGGCTTACAGGCATATATACCTCTGTTTCATTGGTCTGCGAGCATCATATATACTTATCCATTGTGTTGCTGGTAGACCCATTCGCAACTTCTTTTTTGGTTGTTCATCGTTCCCTTCTTCCGTGGCCAACTGACCTCTCTTGTGACCAATAATGAGCTTCACAAAGAGTAATGATAGCTTAGAATTCAATGTTGACCTCATAAAATTCAAACTCGCAATAGTAGTGAAGGATCATCCAGTACCTTTTGTGCACCTTCTGTATTGATGGGTCTGATATCTGGATTTATTGGACCAACAATCCCATCAAACAGAGAAATATATTTTGCGTAGTCAGGATCTTCGTCAAACTTCAGATTTACTACATGTTCAAGAAAAAGCCTAAAAGGCTGGGGGAAGAAGCCACATAAGAACTCTGGAGTAGTTTCCATCTTCTTCTTGCAAACCAAAAAATGTTTGTTTTCTCCCTGGGAAAAACATGTTAAACACTAATGCTCTGAAAGGAGGCATGAGATCAGAACCAAAAAAAGAAAAGAAAAAAAAAACTAATTTAAAGATGTCCAACCTGCTCCCTGTATCCCTGCCAAGGAAGACGACCTCGAAGAAGGAAAATCAATGTATAAGCAAGGGATTCCAGATCATCCCTCCTGCTAGGAGTTCTCCCTAAATGTGCATGCACACTTGCATAGCGGGCTGTGCCCCTAACAAATGCAATATCATGAGCCAAGAAGCAATAAGTTAATATGAATATAGAAAAATCAAGTTACGTCAAATTTTCTATATGATTCAAGTTCAATCAATTAAACCTAAATTCATATGGCCTTTGGTCATACTCCAGATGTGAACCTGTTAATTCATCCCACCATCTAGATGCTGTAGGCCAAAAACATTGAGTATTAAATGCTGCATTAAGATGGGAAAGTGAAAAAAAAAAAAAAAAACTAGTTGACAGATAACACTTGAAAAAAAAACCTAATCCAAGATCAGCAAGAAACAATCTCTTCTCATCCGGGGTCCCTGGAGAACCAAGCAGAAAATTTTCAGGCTTCACATCACCATGCACATACCTGCATCATTTAAGTAGATATTGATCCATCAAAAGGCTGCAAGAATAGGAAATACTGCATTGGTTTTTAAATAGAAGGGAATTACCCTCGAGAGTGCATCTTCTCAAGTATGGATATTGCTTCAATGGCAATGCATGCAACCGTTTGAATGGACATTCTGGAATTCACAACAAATAAACTTAGCAATTGAAAAAAAAAAAAAAGGTTGGTGCAGAGCATTTACCCCCTGTTTGGATGGAGAGAATCAGAGAAAACTAAAAAAGAAAATAAGAGAAAATGAGTTTTCCCATATTTAGATGAGAGAAGAAAAGTGAAAGAGAAAATGGGATGTGATACCCACATCATCTCTCAATTTTCTCCCCATATCACTCTCTTCGAAACCAGTTTTAATACTCATCATTTTGACAAGTGTTGTAAGCTCATCAAATCTGAACCATTTATATTCGATTTGAACAATTCATATTTAAAATCTCTAATTAATTATTTTTAGATAAAAAAACTATTTTTTAAAAGAATGATAGTTAAGAGATTATCTTTATTTTAAATTCTATACATACTAAAATAATAATTTTAAATAAATAAAAATAAAAAAGAAATAAAATATAAACCATCCAAATAAGATATGAATGATCTAGATCTGATGAGTTTAAAATGCTATCAAAGTGATAATCATCGAAACTGGTTCCCACTCTCTCCTCTATCAAAACTTGATACATAATTAATTGAATGGAAATTTTCCAATACGCTGCGTCAAACTTATCCACAGGGAAAGATATATGCGATTTTAAAATAAGATTTGGTTAGTTATCCCCCAAGGAAAATATATCTGGGTTAGTGAAAAATAACATTTTTATTAAAATATTTGGTTTTAAAATTAATAAAATGAAAAAATATTTTTATCATATAATTTGATTTTAAATTATTTGTTGATGTTAATGTTAATATGATCTTTTCATTTTCTTTCTTCTCAACTTTTCTTTCCATCCAACCAGAGAGTCGGTGTATATATATGCCGGCTAATATTTCAACAAACTCACATATGAGACTTCTTCCACACATCATACAAGCTAGGTCCCAGCATATCCATAACCTATAAGCACACAGATCTTAAGTCAAACAGGCACTCTTGGAACAAGGTGAAAGGTGAAACTAGATAGAAGAAAACCAAATTAGCCATCCGAAAACTTAGAACCAACTAATGAAGAAGATGACCAAGTCACATACCATGATATAATAGCCACCTTGCTCACCCTTGTAGTGTACTCTTGGCACACCATGGCTGCCACCTACGGTGCTGGAAAAATTCCAAAGGATTCTCATTGTATAACCAATCATAAATACCAATCTACTCCACAAAACAACTAGAGAGACAAAAGAGTTAAGAATCAGCAAACAAAAGGGAAGAATTAAAAGAATCAATCATCTCACTCACTCGTACACTCGCCACTCGTCTGGTGGTCCCCTATGCTCAAATTTCAATGCGACCTGAAAGAGATAAAAGCTGAGCTTTTCAGACATTAAACTAACAGATAGTAAAAAGATTAAAAAATTTAAAAATATCACTACTCATGGAATAACGGCAGGACAATGTTACCTCCACAGCTTCAGGTCCAGTTCTCTCATTCATATTTTCACCACTAACACGGCGACCAACATATACTTGTCCATATCCACCCTTCCCCAGTTTTCTTCCTACTTTATACAAAGGGGAACCGCCCACTTGAACCTGTCACCATAACGAGTAAAATAGCAATACATCATAGTTGAAATGCTTTTATTCAATTCAAATGATCATTTTTATATAAAGGAGCTCCCGTTTTAAAGGAGTCCACAACAAAGTGCGCTTATAATGCGTTGGATTTCATAAGAGAACAAATATTACAAACCTTAGGAAGAGGAGGGGTATCCCACTTATTATCGCTGCTCCAAGCTCCGCTATCATCATCATCATCCATTTTCTTCTTCCCCGTTTCTTCCTTCTCCCCTCCACCACTGGCCCCACCGCCTGTGGTGCCAACCCCAAGAAGAGCTTCGTCCAAACTCCTTTTCGATTCCTCTTCCTTGGCCGGCACAACTACACTGTCATTGACCACATCCACCTCCGCTTGCTTCTGCCGCTTGTTATACTCCCGACCTGCCGCCGCCTCCGCCGTTCTCTTCCTTGTCGTCGTCGGAATAGCTTCGCCTTCTTCCATCGGATTAGGTTGCTTCTTCTATTGCTGTTGCTTCGCTACTGCTCAGCCCTTGTGCAGTCCACTACGTTGCACCGGCATCGTTCATCCTTCAAATCCCATCCCACTCTCAGGAATACCAAATACAATGTGGCAAAAAATAGAAACTTTGCGGCGCTATGTCACTCTACCGCCTTCCGATGACCACCGTCAAATCCAGCACGAACAACTCCCACCCGGGAGGGGAAAAAAAAAAAGGAGATTCAGAGAAGTGATTCAGAACCAGTCGATTCCTGCCGGAATGCAGCACTGCAATGAAGGTTAGGGCTTTGTAAATGATTACACTGAAAATGAAGGAATGAAGGCGGGAAAGCGTCAAAGGAGAGAGAGAGAGGAGATGAAGTGGAGGGAATGCTCGATTACTTCCAGAGAAAGATAACTCAGCAAATATAATGCTCTGCGCGAAAAAAGATGACTGAATTTATGATTACGTGTGTTCGTGTTCCCTGACATTCTCTTGAGACCGTTGATTATCGCAATCGGACGGATAGATAACGCTTAGAAAACTGTAATCATTATATTTAAAATTAAGTGAGTAACATTTTAATTTAATTACTTTCTTCTGTTTTAACCAATTATGAACAATTTTCCGATATTTCAATCCAAAATACTGTAAGACTGGACTAGTTTGAAACATTAGTTGGATTAGTGGTTTGAAATGAATCAGTTAGAAGTCAACTGATTAAAATAATACTACTTCCGGTTTTAATTATAAAAGATAATTGACTAATTTGAAGAGATTAAAAAAATAAGTTAAGTTATTTATTTGCAATAAATATGTATTGTCTCTCCTAAAAAATCCTTACTAATCAAGTGTGTTAGTTAAAATTACTATTATTAGAAGGATTACTTTAAGAAAAAAGACATAAATATTAAAGACAAAGTGGATTAGGACTTTATATTTAAGATTAAAATAAAAATCAAATAAAATTTTATATTAAGAACCAGAAGTAATACTACTTCTAATTTTAATTATAAGATTTCGTTTATAAATTATAAATAAGATCTTATAGTTAACATCAGAACTATAGACGGTGTGTTATAATTAAGATTAGATATGGTATAATTTATTTAAAATATAATCAATTTAATGACATCAAAAATTAAATAAAAATAAAATTCAAATAAATGCCAAATGCATTTTGTTCATATTATTTGACATACAAGAGGTACAGACGTGTAGCCGTGCAACATCAAATCAAGACCCCGTCTTTTTCAACCTCCCAAAAGGACATGTTCACACTTTCTCGGTGCAGATTTCAAAATTTTCAATGAGTTTTAAAGCATCCTCAAGAATTGATTGCATATTTGCAGTAGAATTGCATCTTTTACCTACAATTTTTTTTTCTCTCTTTGTTATTTATAAATTATTCTTCCATTTTTCATCGGGAAAATGACAGATAAAGAAGTTTAAAAATGTGAAATGTCAATTTGAAAAGCTAAGAAAATATAATTACAGATAGGGAAATCCTTCCCAAATTGGAATTTTGAAATTCAGTGAAATGACAAAAATGCCTTTTGTCTTTTTTTTTTTTTAAAAAAATCTCAGCCCCTTACCGGTGGCTGGCGACCGACAACCACCACCGACGACTGGCCTCCGGCGGCCGTCGACCACCTCTGGCCACCGGCACCGGCCACTGGTGTGGTGGCTGCCGGTGAAGGATTTTTATAACAATATTTTTTTTTTGAATGGGATAATATGGTTTTAAGTGGCAGGGGTGGGATTTGATTCCACAACCCCTTGACCACTTGGGCCAACAAAAAGGAAGATGGCCATTGGGTCATTAAAGATTTCTTAATTTTATAATGCAAACAAAAATATAAGTTAATTAATTCTTTTACTATGACTCCAGCACGTGACAACAATTTATCTGAGGATGACAAGTCTTAATTGAGAAATAACAAGTCTAAATTTGATATTAACAAAGCAACTTTTTCTTATACATAACAGGTAGCAGCATGTACATTAACTAAAAATGACCATAATTGATTTAAAAACAATACGTCTTTACTGAAAAATAACAAGTCTAAACTTGATACTAACAATGCAACTTTTTCTTATACATAACAAGAAATAGCATGTACGTTAATTAAAAATGACCATAATTTATTTGAAAATAACACGTCTTTACTGGAAAATGACAAGTCTAAACTTGATATTAACAAAACAACTTTTTCTCATACATAACAAGAAACACCGGTGAGGGGCTGGGATTTAAAAAAAAAAAAAGACAAAGGGCATTTTTGTTATTTCACTGAATTTCAAAATTCCAATTTGGGAAAGACTTCCCTATCTGTAATTACATTTCCTTAGTTTCCCAAATTGGCATTTCACATTTTCAAACTTTTTTATCTGTCATTTTCCCTTTTTCATCTCCTTTTTTCTCTTGAATAAAATTAAAAAATAAACATTAAATATTTTATAAATAATTTATATTTAAGATCACTTTTTTTCCTTCTAAAAGTGACTTATAATAACTTTTGCCGTTATTTCTTTTTCTTTTTTTTTCGTTTTAAACGGGCATTATTCCCTCCATAGCCGCGATCCATTAGGACGATGAATTTATTGTAACGCCAGAACCCATCTGAACAAATTAATGGGGATTATCTTCCTATGTTTTTCAGGAGAAAACGTTGTTAAAAAAAAAAAATGTTTTGAGTGGACGTTCAATAATAAAACACAAGATTTAATTGAAAATGCATAAGTAATTTTAATTAATTTTTTTATAATAACACATTGTCTAGACATTTATTTAATTTGAAGAGGGAATAAATTTTCTTAACGAAGCACACCAAATATTAAGAGAATGATATAAATTTAAGGGAAAATTGCAAATAAAGACCCCTCAATATATAAAATAGCAATCAGAGACCCTGAATTTGAGAAATTGCTCACAAGGACCCGGTCCCAATTTGCAATTATGAAATCATGGCCAAATTACCAAAATACCCTCTGTTTTTCTCTCTTTCTTCCTCTCCAGATCATCTTCTTCCCGACCTTGCCTCCTCATTTTCCTCTCTCTCTTCGTTCTCTCTTTCCTTTCCAAGTTTCCTTCCCTCTCCTCACTCTTTTCCCAAAGTATATAGAACTCACAATGTCTTCGGTGGTCCTCTTCTCATTGTCATCCCCCATCACTTTGTTCTTATCTTGCTTAGCTGCTCTTTTGTCGACAATGAAGCCTCTTCCATCATTCTCTCTGTTGCTGTGGAAGGAGAGGAGAGTCGGGAGTTTGAGGGAGAGTGACAGTCATTTGCAATGCTTGTAATGTTTGCTTGCAATGTGTGCGGTGATTGCTTGATGCTGAGATAACGCCCAATAAATCTGGATTTTTATTCTTCATTTCTATTTTGATTTTCAGCTTGTGTTCGTAATTGAAAATAACGAGTTTGATAAGTTGTTGAAAATAACAAGTTGACAAGTTCTGATACCCACTTCACGACAAGTTCAGTAATGCGAATAACAAGTTTAGCAAGGCGAATAACAACTTCTGATAAGCAATTCATAGAAATTCGAGTTTCTCTGTTAAAATGACAGCATTTTCAGATTTCTTTAGCAGATGACAAGTTCTGATACACAATTCATGACAAGTTCAGTAAGGCGAATGACAAGTTTAGTAAGGCGAATGACAACTTCTGATAAGCAATTCATAGAAATTTGAGTTTCTGTGTTAAAATGACAGGTTCCCAGTAGGTTTTCATACTTTTTCTGTTAAAATGACTGGATTTCCATATTGATTTATCAAATGACAGGTTTACAATAGAAAATGACAAGTTTTCATAAGATTTTTATGCTTTTTTTTGCTGGAATTACAATTTGCACATTTCTGACAGCAACAACTTCTGATAAATACGAAATGACAAGTTTAGAATGAAAAATGACAAATTAAGTATAGCAAATGACAAGTTCCCACAATGTTTTCATACTTTTTCATACTTTTTCTGTTGGAATTATAATTTGCACATTTCTAATAGCATCCACTTTTGATAAACATGAAATGACAAGTTCATAATGGAAAATGACAAGTTAAGTATGGCAAGTGACAAATTCCCATAATGTTTTCATACATTTTCATACTTTTTCTGCTGGGATTACAATTTCCACATTGCTGATAGCAATCACTTTTGATAAACAGTAAATGACAAGTCCACAATAGCGAATGACAAATTAAGTATGTAAAATGACAAGTTCCCATAACGTTTCCATACAATTGTAAATTTCTCTGTTAAAATAACAATGTGCAGATTTCTGACGGCAAACACTTATGATAAACAGTAAATTACGAGTCCATAATAACGAATGACAAGTTAAGTATGTAAAATGACAAGTTCTCATCACGTTTTCATACAAATGTAAATTTCTCTACTGAAATAACAATGTTCAGATTTCTGACAGCAAACACTTCTGATTAACATCTTTCATCATCAACTTCACCTCTCATTTCCTCTTAATGTATAAAACTATAGCACCAGAACTCTCATAAGCCCCTCAAGAAGCATGCTCATATCAACACCAGTGGCAAATGCACTACGATGATCATATCCACTCACAAGTGCATCCTCAACCATGAAATCCCAAATATAAATTGCCACATCATATGAACAAGAAACCATCAAATTCTACATATAAAACAAGAACTTTATTCGTTTAGCACTGTATTTAGGGCTCGTTTGTTCCTCACATACCACATCTTGATCGATTTTTCCACCGAAATACAATCATCATACTTGATTTCCACAATTTAGAGCTTGTTTGCAATTATCAGAAGTGGACGCTGTCAGAAATGTGCAAATTGTAATTATAGCAGAAAAGTATGAAAAAGTATGAAAACATTGTGGGAACTTGTCATTTGCTATA